ACAGTTCACGGCAGGAATCGGAACGGATCTGGCCCCGAGAGCACGCATCTCCCCCGGACTGGCCGAGCCACCCCTCGGCCCCAGCACAGCCAAGGGGGCTTTAGGGACAAGAAACCCGCCGCGAGCCCCAGCCCTCCGGCACAGCAAAAACCAGGGCTGGAAAAAAACCTATCAGCAAAATTACACTTTATTTCTTCGTTGTGGAATTTACTTTGATGTATTGTAACTTAAAAAGGTCTGGAAAAACCACATGCAAAAGGGTTTCTAAGTAGCAGCTAAAGTTTCTATTCCAGCATTACAAGCTATTCCAAATGATTTCCAAATTCCCAGCTATAAACTATTCCATAAACAAACAGTTTTATCTTTAAACCCCCTCCACCCTACCCCAGTTAGTGCAGTGCAAAGGAAAAACCCAAGGAATTTACATATTATTTTCCAACGTATCCCATTGCAATTTTGAATGATCTGCGATGAACTAAAATATATATACAATTTTCTCGCCATCATAAAAAAACATTTCCCTTTCTTATTCACAGATATATATCGTGGCAAATGGCTGAATAATTACTTACAAACAAACCAATCTTTTTAACAAGTTTCTTACAACAGTAAACACAAGAGGGAGAGCTCTCCGGAGGGCAGGGGGATTTGGCAGGGCTGGGAGGGGAGCGCAGGCAGCGGCAGAGGTTGGGGATCCCTTTGGGGTGTAAGGGAGAGATGGTGCCGTGGTCCCCGTGACAGCACGGGCTCTTCCAGAGGGGATGCCCTCGCCGCCTTACAAGGATCAGTGGTGTTAAACAGGAGGGTGGCGTAAGGCTTTAGGATCTGAGGCATAACGTGAGCCATCGTGAGCTCGTCTGGGGTGTATGTGTGTGTGTGTGCATCTCATCCACCCTAAACGCACCCTCCGCTCCAGCACAGCCCCTGGGATGGGAGCAGGGCCCTTTGCTTTGCACGGCTCTCTGCTGGCTGCTCCCCCCTGAGCAGACCCCGAGCTGAGCCAGGAGAGGTTAGCACCAAACTGTACCTTGGGAAAGCCCCCAGCCCCCTCCACGTCCCCATCACTTCGCAGCGCAAGACCCCCAGTGGGCATCTGCCCCGGCCAGACCCCACTGCACACACCCCGCTCCCCCCACGGCACCGAGAGCGGGGGCACTCGTGGGGCTCCAGGAGGAAGGGGCAGCAAAGTAGGGTGGCTCTGGGCTTGTCACTCAGCAACCACATTTAATTTCCAAGTTTATATCTTTCCTTTTTCCTTGAGAGCCCCAAACTTTTCCGTTCGCTATCCTGAGCAGGGCACTGCTGCTCCGTTTGCAGCAAGGCTTCGGACGCAGCCGTGGTACCCCCGTGCCAGGGACCGAGGGCATCAGCAGCGCTCACCCACACAACGCTGGCATCTCCCAGACCTGCGCCAGCGCAATGCCAAGAGCCCACACTGGGAACACGGTGCCCCACGGCAGCACCACCGTAAGTGCCAGGGGAACAACATCAGGGCATGGAAGCACCAGCTCAAAATGCCACTTATTCAGGGAGGCTGGAGAGCATCTTCTCCTGGGGCTGATATCGGATAGAGGAAAGTTGTTCCCCGTCACACACCCACACACGTATTTGTTCGTATTTGCACTTTGGAAGGAAATTCTGGACCTGGAGAGCAAAGTCAGTGCCCGGCAGAAGAAGCTGGCTGGGATTTCCACCTGGCAGCTCTGCCTACCAACCCCGGGGGCTGCATTTTGGAAAGAACAGACTCAGACGGACGGTGCTGAGGACACAGCGGCAATGCCAAGACACACAGACCTTTACTTGACAGCAGCAGCAGTAACAGCCTGTGGGAGGAAGAGAGGGGGCAACGCTCACAGCCCCCAAAAGTGCACACAGCAGGGGAAGAAGAGATGCTTTCACAACTTAGTGAGAGAAATCAGTTGATACCGTAGCCCTTACTCAGGTGGGTTCGCTCCCCTGAGCTCAGCGAGGTGGGATGTGTCACGGCTGCAAGAAAAATCAGCCTGGCTTGGGGGGGGGGGGCCCTGCCCACAGCAGGACCAAGCTGGGAGCAAGGGCAGGACAGACCCACGGATGCACGTTCCCGTTCACTTCTCTGTGTGTACCTGGTCCCTTGGTGGCCTTCAAAACCCCTGTGTGGCAAAGCACATCTCCAGTCCTGCAACACGCCCAGACCTCCTGCTCACCAGTGGGACCAGTCTGCACCCCGGGCTGTCCCCTCTGCCCACAGCAAGGCTGGTGGGACTGAAGGTGGTTGTAAAGAAAACAGGTTTGGGATGCCAAAGTGGCTCTTTCCCCTCCTGTCTAACCTGGAGGTCCACTTCCAGCCTACGTCTGATGGTCAAAACGTGCTCCTGGTTTCACAGCTGGCATCCTTCAGAGATGAGCAACAGCCCTTTTCTCCTGGGTCGGGTGTCCCCGCTCTACCCCCGCCCCAGCCGCAGCGCGGTGCTGCTGGGTGCTGCCGCACGGCTGCCAGGGAGACTGCCAAAATCCTGACCCAGGGAGCCCACCCGAGCGTGTCATCTCCTCGGGGCTGAGTTGCTCCCTCCCCTTAGAAACCCCCAAATTCTCACCTTGGTACACCCAGGCACCAGCCCAGGCGCAAACCTTCAGCCTCACCCTCCCACCACCATCACCACGGTGGCTTTTAAAACACCTTTACTAAAAGGGTCTCGGACCCCATCCTGTGGGGGCTCGGACCCCATCCTGTGGTGGGCACCGCACAGAGTCTCTCAGCTCTGTCCATGCAGGGGAACGCAGTTTTCCCAAGACTCTTCTGCAGCTGCTACATGAACGTTATCCGACAGACCATCAATCTTCTATACACGTAACAGGAGCGAGGTCGGCGGCGGCCCCGACTCGCGCGCACACACACTGTACAGAGGAACGGATTGCTAAAATCTGCGGGAGCAGTCCTGGGAGGTGTCCGGCCACGTCTCACGGGGAGCTGTGGGCATCGGGACAAGTGTGCATGGTCCGCAACGGCTCGCTCTGGGTGCTCGATGACTTTCCATCAGACATCCCCACAGTCATTGCACCCCCTCCTCTTCCACGTATGTTGAGGGAAACCAGCCAACCTGTCGGGGAAACGGAGAGGTGAGCTGGAGACTGGGGAGCCCAAGGGACCTCCTGCCCCATCACTGGGATTATTCCCCTCGCCACCACGTGCTGTTCCCGGTGAACCATCTCTCCAGTGCTGGATGTGCCCACATCCCACTGCACGGTGGTGATGGCTCTGCAGCCGTTACCCTAATTTGGAGCAGAGCTAGCAACTATACATTGCCTTGGATGCATGGGTTGGCTGCAATATATAAGGGATCAGGGCATGAAGAATCTGTCCCCAGGTGCTACAAACTCTGTGGGACACCAGGTCGAGCCATCAGCCTGCTGCTTTTCCCCAGGGTGCTGAGCCTTTCACAGCAGAGCCCCTCCTGCATAAATCCCCCCCCGTGCAGGTTCAAGGAAGAGCAGACTCGGACATCACCCCAGCTGGCCTGCCCACCGCACGCTCCCATCATCTGCCGGCACGCACCGGGCATCGCGTGTCACTGTCACACAGCACCGCCTGGCAACACAGCGGTGGCCGTCGTGAGATGACAGCCCACCCATGAGCCGGGAAAGAGCAAGAGGGAGCGGGACATGTCCCCCTGCCCTTTGCAGTCCTGACAGCAGAGTCTGCTCCGGCTGGGCAGGTTGAGAGCGGGGAGGACCACGCACTGCAGGAATGGGACAGGACATTATCTGGATGCACTCACTCTTCCGTTGGTTTCCCCCTTCCACCACCCCTGGTCCCCGCCAATCCTGCTGTAGATCTTCACCACGTCGCCTTCTCGCAGCGAAAGTTCCCGCATGTCCCGCGCCGCAAAGTTGTACCGTGCCACCGCCGTCCCTATGACCCGTGGGGTGAACACTGCGAGGGGACAAAGCAGAGGGAGTTGGGAGCTGCCCCACCGCACGGGACCGGCCGAAGCCTGGGGAAAGCTTGGTGAGGTTCAACCTGGGTTTTCCACCGCGGCGCTGGCTCCTATTGCAACGCCACGACCTGGAGCAGCTCGGATGGTGGGGTTGCCCTCATCCGAATTGCTCAGCCCCGCACGGACTGAGGCAGTCAGGGTTAAACTCGATTCCTGGTGGGCTTTAAACAGCTCTGTGGGCTTGGGAAGCCCCTCTCTGCTGAGCAGGAGAGTCCAAGGAAGGGCTTGGTGGGGACTGTTGGGGTGAGAGGCACTTCTGTGAGAAGGTGGTAAAAGAAAAGATTTCATAGGAATACTCAGTCATTAACAATGAAATCATGGAAAAATCCTGCTCCACTACAAATATCAGGTCTGGCTACTGCACAGCTCCCAGCACCCGATGGGACCACCTTGTCAAAAGATTTCACAAATCAACTTGTATTTAAACTACTTCAAAAAACTGAGCTATTGGGATTGGATTTTCCTAGAGATGCTGGGCAAAACCTGTGTGTTTTGCCATGAGGAGGAACAAGCTGCTAACCCCGTATCCTCCCTGCTCCTGTCCCTGCCAGGGAGCAGCCAGGGCCCTTGGAAACCTGGTCCCGTTACAGACCAAAAGGTGCAAAAAGCACCCTGCAAACCCTAATGCTGACCAACAGCTCGTGCTAAGAAGCACGGCCCCGTGAGCCGTCCCGGGTCCCGACCTCCACCAGCACCCAGCATGGCCCCAGCACCACGGATCTCCATCGCTTCAGGCAGGGGATGCTCGGGGGAGGCACAAGGAGGAGCAGCAGTGAGGGGGGAAAGGCAGGGACAGCGCTCAGCTTCCCTGCTCCAGTGGCTGGCCAGGGGGAAGGAGGGCTGGAGAGCAACGGTGGGAGGGATGGGATGGGCAGAGGAGGAGAAAAATGCAAGTCCTCCGAAGTTTGCAAAAAAACCCCACCCCGAAAGGATGTCGTGTTTTGGTGAAGCTACCCTTTTTGTCCCAGGGCTTTTGAGGATTAATTTCAATTTTAAAAGTTTGCAAACCAAGGTTGAACTAAGTTTGAGGAAAAGCTTTGCCCAGGTTTTCAGCTCTCGGGATGGAAGAAGATGAGGATGGCGATGGAGACGGTCCAGACACAGAACGTGCAATCACCGGAGGGCTCGTCCGTCCTCGCCAGGCAGCCGGGCTGGAGAACGGAGCGAGAATCACGGCAGCTTTGAACTCTTTCATCAGGAGCTTGCTCAGGGCTCACTACTGCACAACTTACTTTCTGCAATACTTTCTACACAGTTAAAGGATCCCAAATTCCCAGAATTATGTTCTAATACCTTGAAAATTTAAGTGCTCTTCCCAAACACGGCACCAAGGAAAGCACATGTGGCTTTGCCAATGATTTTCCCCTGTCCAGCCTAAAGAACATACTGAAAGGTAAAAGCTTAAATGGGAAGAAATGAACTGGCACGATTTTGCTCCGATCCCTGCCAAACAGGGAGGAAGACACCAGTCTGTAACACGTTTAATCAATGGGGTTCAAACGCCGGAGCACCACTGTGCTCTCTGCAGGGAGTCTGAGCCCCAAAACACTTTTGACAGCGCAAGTTCCCCCCCCAGCTCCTCAGCAAGGGGCTCCTGAGCAGCCTCAGACACCAGAGCTCAAAAACTGCCAGACAGTGAGATGTTCTCCTTGTACAGCAAGGAGAAACAGTCTGGAAGACGGTGTGATGCCAATGCTCGTTTGGTGAAACACACGGGATAAGTAGGTCGAGCTTGAAGTACATCATGAGATCCCAATGCGCTAAATTCCCTTTTTTGTTAATTTTAGCCCCCTTATAGCCATGGTTCATTAACTTATTTCCAGGCTGTGCCCCAAGGCAGCACTGGGGACCCCCTGAACTGCCTGCAGGTGATGGAGGGACAGCGGGGACCCCGCAGGTCCCGCTGGCGATGGCTTTCAAGCTGGGGATGCTGCAGCCTGGGGAAGGCGGCAGGTCTCTCCGGTGGGGAGAGGCACTGGTACCTGACCAGAAGGGACTGGAGGAGCTCTGAGAAGAAAAGTTGAGGCCCTGAGGACTGAGAAAAGAAAAGTTGTAGGAAGCGCAGGAGGCTGCAAAGAGGTTAGAGAGAAACAGAAAGAGGCAGAACACGCATTAAAAAGAAAAATTAAAAAAAATATTATAATGCACAATGCTTTAAAAGCGACGGAGAAATACAGGGCAAAGCATGCAGAAGGGCTTGCGCAGGGGCTCGGAGCTGGGGCACGGCCAGGGGCGGGCCCGGCCGCAGCCCCCCAGCCAGTGTGGGGGCTCAAAAGTCATTCTAGAGTTGCATTTTATGTGAAATGATATTTAACCAACTTTTAAAAACTATCTTGCTTTTGTATTCTTTTTAAAATATACTATGGAAAACGTTTTAAAAAAAATATGCATTTTTCCCCACAAAGTATTTCTGCGCTCAGGCTTTTAGACAAAATGGAACATTTTGCACTAATGCACCTTTTG